TAGACTAGGCCCTGGTGTACAGCCTCCAGCCCCTGGCTCCCAGCCCTGGAGATCCAAGACCTCTTATACTTAATTATACTCCATAAGATTATTTTTTATTTTTGGGATCTTCCCAAAATAGGATTGTGTTTGTATATTGAGAAAATACAGTAATATAGTGGCATAACTCCCCTAGAGTTGAAGTCAGGAAGTTCTCATGAAGGAGCTCACTAGTCAGGTATGGAGGGATTGAATGTGTCTTTCCATCTAAGGGTGAATTCTCTACATTTTAGGAAAGGGATAAGGGTACAGAAATAATGATCACTTGGTGATCCAAATAGGAGGGAAATTGAACTAGGTAAATAATGGAGGGGAAGGGGGGAAGCTTTAGTAAATAAAGTTAATTTTAAAGCAATAATGCATTAAAGAAGCATAGAAACCAAAACAGCATTGTAGGTATATAAAGTAGATTAAACATAACCTAGATATGCTTTATTTTCTTATTTTCTGATAATGTAAAAGGTGAAGTCAGTTACCACTTTTATTTTATAATATATTATAACCACCCCCTCTCCCAACCAAGTTTACTGGATTTTAAGATAAGGCTTTCCCCATATTTAACATGGGAGAAAGGCCACTTGCATTAGAATTGAGTACAAAGGCAAGTGTGGGGGAGGAGGAATGCAGGTACCTGCTGTGGTTTGGGCTTCAACCACTACCCGGGGTCCGGGCCGTAACTGCAGCCGCTGTCCCATCCCCTACCCCCTGCAGCTGTTTCTGAACCCCACCATCTCCCCCCTACCACCACACAGTCTCTGCTCCCCTGCCTCCCCCTCTTCTTGCCCCCTCGCCTTATCCTTACTCCATGCCAGCAGGCTCCACCCACATTACAGCTGAGCATCGACCTAGCCTGGTGCTGTAGCAGCAGTGCAGCCTACACAGCTGCTATGGAGACTGGCCTAGGGCTGTGCTCAGTGCCCCAGACTACAATGAAGACAGAGCCTGCTGGCACAGATCAGGGTGGGAGGTGGGGGGGAACAGATGCTGGGAGGGAAGGGAAGAAGGGGGACCAAAGGCAGAGGGGGAAGGTGGGGCTCAAGACTAGAGGGGGGCATATGCAAGCAGGTAGCAAGTTGTTTGACCTCTCCATATTACCTGCCCCCCACAGTGGTGGGAAAGATGGATGAAAGACAATGCCCCCAATAATTATATTCTATACATGGAAAATTATAACAAATTTATAAATTTTCAATCTATAGAATCTAATTATTATGTGGTCATCTTAGATTTGAGTAAATATGTGGGGGGTATATATTTGCCAGCCAGCAAGCCAGTGTCTTGAGCCAGATTGTTTGAATATTATAATATATAAACATTACATTAATGATGATATAAGTTATTCTTGTATATTATTTCTTTTGTAAATATGTAAACCCAACCTCATGCAATTCCTGTGTATTACTTCAGCATTGGAGCTTTGTTTCTATACTTGCCTGAATAAAAAATAGAGTATAAAAAAACAAAAACACAAAAACCTGGACTGGGACCACAAATCCAGAACATAATGGGCAGATGGAATTAACTTTCTATCACAGTGGGGGTGCTAATTTGAACTGGTTCCCTAGATGTAAAAGGCTCTCTCTCTATCACCTGAACCATCCAGATGGTTATCATGTAACAGTTAAGGAAATAACATGATAGTGAAAAAAATTTTCATCAGCTTAAAATGTAAAGCCTTTGAGTCAAAAATAAATAAAACACTTAAATTTCAACAACGTAATGTTTGCTGCTGGACAAAAGGAAAACACTTTCATGGAAAAAGCTGATCTACATTTTTAAATGATCTAATCCTACATACCTTCCATATGTAGATGTTGAACTTAAACATGAAAAATCCTCTTTATAAGGAGACATGTCATTATGGATTTTAAGACCCTTAGTCACAGAAAACCACAGACAGAAGTCTAATCGTTCAGTTTGGCTTAAAGATTATATAATTAGCCAAGGGTAGGATCCAGAGGGGTTGCACTGGTGTGGATGCACCCCACTTTGATTCCTTCTTCACTCTCTCAGCAGCTGCACTGAGGAAGCCTGACCTGCTGGAGGCTGGAGAAGCAAAACAGCAAAGAGAAGCCCCACAGAAGCCAGATGGGGAGATTAAAAGAGGCTGGGGTACAGGTAAACTGTGCAGAGCCATAAGCCAGACTCCTCAAAGACAAGGCCCTGCTGCTTCTGCTCCTCCCCTTCATGTGGCCCTGACAACACAGCAGCTGCCTTAGCAAACTACCTGCACTGAAGCCAGCAGAGAATGGGGGCAGCTGGGCTCCTGAGCACATGTTGCTCCAGGAAAAGTCCCATTCCCTCTTCCCCCTTCCACCTGACCAGCACAACTCCTATGATGAAGGAATGCATTTCTACCACCAGAGTCAACAAGGAATGGGTAAGTGGTGTGGACCCCTAATTTGGGCTTCCAGGAGCTAGGGCAGATGAGGAAAGTCCCATCCCCTCTTCCCCATCTCCTCTACATGGCCAGGAATGCTGCTGCCAGCAAGCAGGGAATGGCAAAAGCAGGGTGAGTCCTAAGACAGGCTCCTGGGTGCCAGGGCACTGCACTGCACTGCATCAGTGGACAGACCCATTCTCCTTCTGGTGGCCAACAAGCCTAGCTGCTGCCATAGGTAGCAGCAAACTGCTTGCACCAAAGCCTGGGCTCCTGAGATCCAGGGCACACACTGCTCTGGGAGAAAGTCCTATCGCCTCCTCCTTCTACCTGTCCAGTAAAGATGCTTCAGTGAAGTAGCAAACTGCTGGCACCAGAGCCATCAGGAAATGGGTTAAATGGCATGGAGCTAGGGTAGGTGGAGAAAATCCCATCCATCCTTCCTGTCCTTCCCCCCTCTCTCCCCTCTCTTCCACCAGCTGACAAGGCTGCTGCAATAAGGGAGCACAATACCCAGCCCAGAATGAGTTAAGCATTACCTTGTCCTGAGCTATGCTGTGTAGAATTCAGTTCTTCACGCAGGGCCAGCTCAGTGCCACAACCCCCCTACAGCAGCACAGAGAACTGCAGCAGTAAAAGCCTTGGCCTGTCTTTAAAGGCTCATTTTAAGGCCTCCCAGAGCCATGCATCTCTGCTGCTTTCTTCACTACACTCCTGCCATACTAGTCGTAGTCCCGCACCTTAAAGATCTTAATCAGTCATGTTGTTACTTACGGTTCCTAAGGCAAGGATTTTGTGATGTGTTTATTGGACCAGCTGTACAGTTCTATACTTAACATATAACAAAATAATGCATGGTCCAATAAAGTTATATTGGTTTTTGCTTCAATCTCAGACTGAATGTCGATGCACCACACCATCTGCACCCCCTTTTCAAAATCCCAGATCCACCCATCTAGATAGTAACTCAATGGTGACCTGTGTTCTAGAGTTTTGGTAATCAACTAGCCCCAGCTGCAAGTTATTTTAAGAATTTGAGGAAAAACATAACATAAACCTATAAAATCCAAAACTGAAATGCATTTATGTAATGCCAAATAAAGGTTCCTGTTTTAAAAGGGATTTTCTGAAAAACTTCAACTAACTCAAAACCTTACTAAGATTTCGAACTAATTCAATCTAACTCAAAATCTTAACATGTTTTTTTTTTCCCCAGAAAGAAGTCAGTTTGTAGATGACTGTGAATTTGCAGAACAAATTAAACAACTCATTCATTTCAAAATTCATGTTAAAAAAAAAATCACAGGCAATTTATCAATTCCAAAAGATCCACGCATGTAAAATCTTATATACATTTATATAAGAAAAGGAATAAAGAATAGCAGAGTAGCGGTTTCACGCTCTCTTTTATTTCACCCATGTTCTTGGCATAATGTGCGCTGAAAAAACAAATACAAGTATCTGTCCACTGACCTCCTATCTGCAGTAAGAAATACAAGTTGCTTTACTGTAATTTGGGAAGCACATACAGCTTTAATAACTGATTACTGGCTTTATAATTTTCAAAAGAAGCAGAAAACACTGCTGGTAGTAAGGGTCAAAAAATTAAATACAATTTTCAAACTCCAGTTTAATCAAACTGCATATATTCAGCCCTGTGCAAATACCAAGGAGTAAGACTGATTTTATTTCTTATTTTCTTTGGCTTCCGCTTGTGTCCTGCTTTTATTTTCCTACTTGCTTTAACATGTATTTTCACATAAAAAGCAGGAACTGTTTCTTTAATGTATTTTTAACAATATATTGAACTGCTCCTAGGACAGGGTTTTAAATTAATGCCTTTCACCTAACAGAATTGTCTTTTTCACAATTCCCCAGTAAAACTTAAGTCTTGTGAGATTCGCCATGCAAGACTATCATATTATTTAAAAACTGAATGAATAATATAATCAGGAAATAACAGTTTGCAAACGTTCAAATTGAGTACCTGTATATTCCAGTTTGAAATAATTGTTTACTTAGTAGGGTGCAATACACCCGATAACTCCTTTACCATATTCAAGTATTACTCTTTTTTTTTTAAAAGTAACAAAAAGCTACTTTAAACAGTTCATTTTTTGTTAATTACATGAAAGTAAAGACCCTATTTGAAATAAAAAATAAAACAAATGTTGCCAAGTTCTCTTTCTGAAGCCTGAAAAGTACATTAAACTATTTTTTGTGAAATTACTAAAATTTTCTCAACTTTTTAAATAAACAACTACACTATCAATTTTTTTCTCTGAATGATAGTACAAGCATGCTCTGTGATCTGGAATAGTGGAATGCTTGCAAGTTCCAGCAGGCATGATGAAAACAATAATACCCTATGCATCCAAGAGCCACAGAGTGTATGGCTTTGTTTCTTCACCTATAATTAAGAAGCAACAAAAACCTTTAACTGGAATTTATTAAATAGTATATTCCCTATGGGCTGTAAATATGTTAAAAGTATAGTAACTTTCTGAAGTATGGAAAAGACCTAACTAAATAAGAGCAAAGTCGTGGCAACTTTATACAGCTCTGTAAAGAGTGAGCGTACCTTGTGTTTTTGTGGCCTCCTTGATGATCTTCTGAAGTTCTTTCATTTCTCTGTCCAGCTCTTCATAGTTTATTTCTCTAGATTCAACTTTAGGTGCCTGGAACACAGAAGGATCGGTTCCAAGGTAGGAACACTGAAGGTGCCCACTGTCACTGAGAGTAACTATTAGACCTTTCATATCTCTACATAAAGAGAGACAAAAAGCTCATTAAGACATTAGGAAGTTACACCCTTTACATCAATTACACAGTTCAATATGGATGCTCTTCATGCTGTCCATTCAAAAACGTCTGCCATTTTAACTGTATTTTTTCCTAAAGTTTCTGCCTGATTATTTGACCAAAGAGAGAAAAATTCTTTTATATTCACATTGTTATCCCCATTTTATTGTTTTTAATTATGTTTATTAAAGCAGTGGCTATAAGCCAGGCCCTGGAAAAAACAGACTATACAATCCAGTCCAAAAGAACTATTAAATATAAATAAGCCAGACACAAGTACTGGAAAGAAGTATAATAAGGAAAGAAAAAAAAATTGTGGCCGACAACACATTAGTTCCACAGATTCCCTTGTTATTTATATCCTTTCAAGTGAGGTTAATTGACATGGGGGGAAGGGTTGGATAGATGAAAGAAAGGAGCAGAAAGCACCACCTGTTGGAACAAGCAGCCAATCAGTGCAAAGATGTCAACAGTGAAAATTGCAGTAAGCAGTCTCCTAGGTCTCAACTTTGGCTCTTTATGCAACTGCTATGCCAGCTGTAGACTCCAACTAACTCCTCCTCCTTCCATTTGATTCTGAAAGGCCACATGCACAGGGAAGAAAGGACGCATCCTGGTTCCTATCCTTCTCCCATTGACAGTTTCCTTTCTTTGAGTCCAAAAGGTAATGATGGGATTGCCCTAGCTACTGCCTATTTTAAATAACTAACAAGTAAATGAAAGCTGCCACCCATTTTGCTTAATCTGAAAGTTGTCATAAGTAGACAGAAAACTTCTCAAATTGTATCAAATAAAGAACAGTATTTTCTGCTAGTATAAGATAACACTAAACTAGTTTCTATCCTGCTTTTAAAATGGTTGAGCATTATAAACTTTCAGGGGGTTGTTTTAGTTTTCTTCTGTTTTTGTTTTTAATACCATGCTAAGAAAGCACAGCCCTGAAATG